TCATGTGGGGGGAGCCACCTAAGGGGATTTCCCCTGGACCATGCCACGGGAGCCTGGGGGATCTTCCTCCCCTTTCCTGTGTGGTCTAGCCACAACTCGGCCAGCCCTACCACCACAGGTGGGAGGGAAGGAGGGCCAGTCCCGGTACCAGGAGGGCTAGCCATGCATGAGGAGGAGGTGGTGGTGGGAAAATCCCACAGGCTGCTGCAGCATGAAAGATCACACAAAGAGGGCCAGAGGAAGGTTCCAATCCTCCCAAGGCAGCCTCACCTGCATGGGCAGTCCCCTGGCACCAGAAAAGGGGACTGTTCACCCTTTGCAGGGGGCCAGCAGGGGGTTGGCAGCAGGTGGTAGGCAGCCAATCAAGGATGGCCTCAAAGTGATACTTTGTATTTGCAGTAATTTTTTTAGGGGATGTCAAAACTCTTTTGAATGGAAAAATTGAGACAGATCTGAGAATGTCATTTCTGTGCCCTACTTTAAAACCCTTTCTCCAAGTAGATCACTTTCCCCGTCATACGCATTACAGCACAACCACAAAACTGTTTTCCATCAGTTGTCAAGGTCTAAAAAGGTTTGGCCATAGAGTGTAGAATGAGTCTGGCTTTTCAGTTATTGCTGTATTTGGCTGTCCTCAGAAACTAAGAGCAAATAACTCCAGCAACATAGCTAGTCTCCAATTACTTCCTATCTCCTATCCATTAGTGATCTGGATTCTCTTACTGAGCAATGCCCTCCCTGTTAACACAATTTCAAGGTTAAAATTAAAGAGTAAGGGCCAGAGCTCTTAACAGGGATAGGATGATTTACATCAACTATACATTCAAAAAGGTATATTTGCAACAACCACATGAATTCATCCCTGCTACACATCTTGTCCGTTCCATGCTATGTTTCTCTTGGGAATTGACACTATGTATTAATGAAATCCCCAAAACAGAGAAAAAACCTTGACTTGGTGCAACCTGGCCAAGTTAACATGTTTAAGAACAAGGATTGCTCCATATGGCATAGCTAACTCAGTCAATAGATGCAAGTACACTGCTGTTCAAGGCAGTCACAAGAAGCCATACTTAGGAGGAAGGAGGATAAAGAGCAGGGGGAAAAAAATCTGTGGTTTACTTGTGGCAGAGTAGCTGGGTTAGTGAAGGCTGCTGGGAAGGGGAAGAAGCAAAGAGGGGGCTGGGCCTTGAGACTTTGGGCCCAATTACAGGCAGCAAATTCTGGCGCACATAAGTACAAGACAGGTAACCCCTGCTTCCAAAACACAGTTCCTACATAAGTTCCACTTGATCCCCGCTGACTTCCCACGTATGGCAGGGAGGAAGGGGGAGCTGGACCCGATGATCCCATGAGGTCCCTTCCAGCCTCTCATGTCTATTAAATCTATTAAATAAGACACTTTATGCATCTGAAACATTACTCCTTGCCTTTTGATTTTGAAAAATTTATTGAAAATTACCAGGCAAGAAAAGGAAGACCTCAAATTTATTTAATAGCATTCCTTTGTTTGTAATGGTATCACTTCTGAATTACATCATATCTGCTCACTTCCAAAATTTCTAGGAGCCTTGAAGACATCATCTTTAGGAAGAATCAGCCTATTGATTCTGGTGAAAACTGAAAATGCAGGAGGTGGATGTGGGGTCATGTAAAGCCCGTAGTAGCCAGTAGCAGACCCAGCAGCTTCAGCCATCTCTGTAATTGTATACAGATCAAAGAACTAGTGGATAGCACCCATTAAAACCTTCCTGTATCCTTCTCCCTCCTCTGATGAGATTCCATAAGCCAGTGTGTGAGCTAGGGCACCATGGAGTAACCCAAGATCCTTTCAAGGGTGTCATGCAATGTTCACATTGCTAGGTGTGCAAATGCTAGTTCACAAGATAAAGCCAGAGATTTTAAGCAGGAATTCATAGTGTTAAAACATCCTGGCCTGTTGTGGTCTCTTGAGTTCTTTGCAGCAAAATAAATTGCTCTGTTACCTTTTTTTTGTCACCAAAGCAGGTCAAAACTAAAAGCTAGCATTTTCTGAGTGGGGTCTCAAGTCTAGAAAGGTTGAGAATCACTGTCCTAGGCAGATTTTAAAAAGTTGAAATTTGACACAAGTGACTAATCTTCTTGACAGAAAAGAAATAGGAATAATAGGACAGGAGGGAATGAGGGTGCACAAGGAACCTCTAGAATGGGGAGACTAAAAAATAGGGACTATACAGAGACCTGGTCTGGGGATGGAGATAGGAATCTGAGGAGCAATAAAGCCCCAGCTCTGGGGTCTTGGGAGTAATGAGTGTGCATAGCAGGAAGAATTGGGGAGGGGTGTTACAAGCTGTCCCTGAAACAGAGCAGAATGGAAGTGCAGCACAAGGGGGGCCTGTGGGAGAAAGTGGATGCAGGCTTTTGCAGAAATTAACTTTTGGGGGCTATGTCTAAAAGGTTCAGTTTTGGGCCCTACTCTTTACTAGATAACCACATGATAAGACAACCATCACTAGTGTAGCAATGGGTGGGCAAGTGAGGCATGTGTCCCAGGCTCCACCTAAGCAGGGAGGAGTACTGGAATGGAACTACAGAGGACACCTCACCCTCCTGTGCCCCATGTCCCCGCACTCCTTCTCTGTAGCAGCTCCAGATCCAGTAACAGGAAGGCAGACAAGCAGCAGTGGTGTGTGATGGGGGAACAGCAGCTGGTGGGTTGCTGCTGCTGACGGAGATGTCACCTTATTTACAGCTAAAAGCTGGAATTTTCTGGCAGCTCAATGCCCATGAGAGAGGCAAAAACAAGGTGACATTTCCCCCAGCAGCACTGTCCCCAGCTGCTGTTCCAGGACCATGTGCAGCCACTACCCAGGGCACAGTACTGGCCAGTTACACTTCTGATCAACTCAAGGCTCCATGCAATTACATGGTTTGTATTATTTCCCCAATGCCACCTCCGGATACAAAGATCCCCTGGCGTATGCTATGAACTTGGCCCATAGAAGCGGAACACTGTATCACAGACTAAATACAGATAACTGGTCCCAGAGTTGACTCGCATCAAAACAGGCTCCTTTACACATGAAGCTTGAATGGCAATTAACTTCAATTGTCCTGGGGCAAAGTATTAATTTGGATACTTAAAATGGGACACTGGGTTTATAGTCAGTAGGATCCCAGGATTAAAGTCTTTGTCCTGGGATAAACCAGTCATCTGTTTTTAGCCCCAGAGCCTGTGCTGCCTAGCAGCTCCATGTACAGTCACCCTGACTCCTGACAGGAGCTACTGATCACACTACCAAGCTGCCAACATGAATTGGCATCAGTCTAAAATCAGGTTGTTTACTTGATTTTCATTGGCTTTTTCTTTCAACAAACTAGCAAAGTAAGAACTGTTGCATTCATATATATAAACAATAAAAAGTAAACTGAAATTGTTCTCAGGTTAGCTGTTCAGAACTTACATGGTGAATCTTTAATTGCATTGCAACTACATTATTTTAGTGACTATTATGAGGCAAACTATTTTTACCTTAAAAAGAATTCATGCATCATTTAAATATGTTGCATTATCCTGGTCTGTGATACTACATCAATCCAAAACAGGAAGGACAAATTATTGCCTAACAGCCTAAGTTAAAAAGAGATCATCGAGAAACCACAAAAAAATATAACTGGCTTCTTAATCACTACATGTGCTTTCAAGTAGATGAAATGTTCTTTACTCTGAGCCCAAATTCTGCAAATCCCAATTCAGGACCAGTCCCTGAAATGTCAATGGGACTAACTCACATTAATAAAATTCCACTTTAGTGCAGGGTGCCAAACTCATCTGGTACTATATGCTGGATGAGCTGCCCAGAATTGGTTTGCAGGGCAGGTCCCAAGTGAAGATCTATATCATTTGGTGCGTGAAGATACCCATGGGGGGAGCTGCAGCAATCCGCAGTCATACCACTATCAGATACCCAGTCCTACAGGCAGGCACATGGGCCAGATGATGCATCTCTGCACTCTGAATGGGGCTGGAAATTTGGTGGTGGCATGAGGGTTGGCAGTATTACCTGTCTCCTCCTGGGAGCTGTGGCCATTACCACTGCCACTTGTCATCCAAATAGCTAGACTGTGAGTGCATTGCCATATCATCTGGCCCACAGGGCTGGAAGCCTGGCAGTGGGACAAAAGGCAGCACTCGTACCTGCAATCGCTCATCCTGCTGCTAAATTTCTAGCCTCATAAGCAGTCTTCTGGGCCAGATCTTTAACACACATGCTTTGATGCTTTTAGGTTACAATTACTATCTGCTGCAAATTATTATTTTCTCCATTCAACTTACTTATTCCATACGTGTCTGATTACTGACCCAATACCCGCAGCCCATACAAGTTAGAACTAAGCCTTTATGATTTTAAAGCAGCATTTTGTGCTGTCCATCATATAATTAACTTAAACACAAGTTCCTGATTAAATGCAGCAAATAAAATAACCCACACTTGTATTTTGCATATGCATCTATACACTGTGAAACAGCCAGGTTATATATGACCTTACACTACATAAATTCAAGTGATAACTGGGATTTTTTAAGTCCTGCGCCAAGCCATACGATGATTAAGAAAGCATTAAATGACAAAGCAGAAAGGAATTGAGAAAAACCAAACCTAAAAAACTAAAATGAAGGAGAAATGTAACAAAACACACCACCTAGGAGCCATCCAACATTAAATGGACAGGAAATGCATACTGTATATACAAATGTAGAGTTAAAATTCCATTTTAAAAACTGTCAAGAGACTGTTAAAGGCATAAAATTAGGCTTCCATCATGTAAAGACATTCAGCTGGATGTCTTATCTAGGAAAAGCCCAGCTGGTAACAACCTTTATGTTGAACTTGCTTATGCATACATTAGGACTGAAGGGCTATAAGGCTCACTGAAGTCAGCTCCAGACATATTTGTCTGGAATGTGATAAACTACCTTTTAGCACAAACTGATTTAATTTTCACCGAGGAAATCATACCTGCTTTATAGCTTGCTGAAGTTTCTCCAGATTGATTTCTTTGGCTTCTTTTAATAATGTCTTTTCATCCATCTTTAACATAGAAACTCTGTATTGGCAGAGCTCAACCACGACCACATCGGGCTGCACCTCTTGTATTGTCTGAAAAAGATGGATTTATTTACACCGACCTGGATAAGATGAAATGGTATTGCAGTCAATATCGATGTTTTCATATGAGTAATTTGAGAGGTACGAGACTTAATCAGAGCCCCTTCCACAAACCATCTTCAATTAATAGAATAAGGGAAAGAAAGCAAGGCCTCAGGAAGCTGATATTGCTTTGAATTATCACATACTGTTAGTTACTCTGCTGGTCTGAAGACTAATAATGGAAGAAGTCAGCAACATGTATTATCTAGCAGCTACCTGGGGGCAGGAAGCTAGGGTAAAACTTGGATTAGGAAAATACGATTTTTTAACTTTTCCCCTATATTTTAACAATATTCATTGTAAAAGGCAATTTGTAACTTTTCACGCTGCAGTCTTTGGTGGGCCAGGTCTTCCCAATGGCTTGAATCACTGGGGGTGGACTGGGGAGGGGATTCATCCTGGCATGGCATTCCAGTAGGTCAGCTTCCAGAAATGGGCAGTCTCCTCAAACCTGTTCTCAGATTTACTTCCTCAAATTTTGAGTAAGCATGCTGAGCTTTTACATTCCAGTTGCACAGACTACTGGTCCAGCACATGGGACAAATTCCAAAATTCCACTTTCCATCTGAAGTTTTGTATCTCAACAAGGCCCTCCTCCACATCCCATGATATAGCATCATTTGGTGTCAGATTAGAATAATTATCTGTTGATAGGCCAAATATTGATAACATTTGGGACTGGCGGGTTGTCTAGTTCACCAACTTATTTACTGTTTAAATAACATGGCCTACAACTTCACTTTGGACCTATTAGTTCCAGAAGCTAAATGGAGGGCAGGAGCCTAGAGGTTAAAGTGCAGGGCTGGGTCAAAAAACCTAGATTCTACTAAACGCAGACGCTTCCTTGTGGCGAGCTGCACATATCATAAAACACTGCTGAAGAGCTCCAACTGTATATTTACCTTCACTACATCTCTTTTGCTGCTGTCGCTGAAGTGGGCAGTACCAACAACATATACTTTAGAACCTTCCTCAGTGACAAGTTCAGTCACAGTGCAGGGTAGATTGGGCTTCTTTTGTCGTTTCTTCATCTTCACCTCCAAGAGAATTTTAAAAGCATCTGCATCTGCTACAATGTTAAAATGTATACATGTCTAACAAACTGTTTGCAAGTACAACAGAAAAATTTTAAAAATGTTAGATTAATTATCCTGTGCTATTCAGTCACCTATAGGTTTTTTTTAAACAGCGCAATCTTAGATTCTTTCCCAAGCTTCAATAAATATTGTGGATCCACATCTGGGGATTATTTCCCCAAGGATGAATCCCAGCCTCTCTACATGCAAAAGGAGCTCATGTTTCCATCCCTCTGGATACTAGGACAAGATCTACACACAGGCCAAAAAATGTAGGGTAGAGAAGAGGAATGTGAAAACAGGAGGATGGGGAGAGGGGCACATTGTGCCCTGCAAAGCACACTCAATAACATGTCTCAAACTAAAGTGAGGGACATCTGCCCACCCGCTTTCACAATAAGAGTGTCTATGCATCACACGACAGTTAACAGCAGCATAATTATACTGGTCCAGTTATTATGTTAAGTTTCCTTGTGTAGCTGTAGAAGTATATGTGGTACCTGCCTGTGCTTGTAATGCCTCCAACAGCTAATCTAAGGCTTTTAACTTCAAACACACTGAAGGTCGCTACAGCTTTAAATGAAATACGGTAGAGTTTTGTCCAGCTCTTTGAGAATTGACCCTGTGATTCTTCCCTAGTTCTCAGAACTGACTTATTTGCTCATTAATTGATAAAGAAACAGGTAAAATCCATCAGTTTCATGAAAGCTGCCTGTGAAGAGCCAGAAGGTCTGATTAACTGGGGTAGAGGGACTCCTGTTGATTTCAATGGTAAAAGTAGTAACCTTTGAATGATGCTTTTTAAAATGTAATGTATATTAGAAAAAATTGGAAAGGGTGAAAAAGCATAGTTTAATTTTTTCAACCAACTTTTTCTTACAAGGCAATAGGAAATACTTCTCTGGCAAGTTGTTTTACAAGTCAGCCAAGTTTCAAGCTGCCAAAAGTCTGGAATATAATAGCAGTCACAGGAGAGAAGGATTAGGGAACAGACTGCAGGTGAGATGTCCAAAATGCAGATAAACTGCAGACCCATGTGGTACATTTGTAAAATCATGGAAGCTTGGAAAATGCATCTCTGACTTCCAAATGTGTTACATCAACATGAATCTCATACATGGTATTTGATACAGCACAATACCACATGGGAAGCTAAATAGCCAAATCCAGGCATCCACATATTTCCTTTGAAGTTTCTATCGTTGTTCACTGTACTCAGGCCACTAGATTAGTAGAAAGACCCTTTTCTAAACTTCATAGGACAGTTTCTAGTTGAAATGTGTCTGTCCTATCTCCTACACACCTATCTCTTTCAACACAAAATTTATTTTGGCTATAGCAATAGTGATAAGACAACATCAACCATAAGACATTAGTGATATATCACTAATAACATGGGGCAGAATGGAAAATCAAATCCATATGCAGGGGTGGATCCAGAAGGGGTCAGTGATATGGCTGCACCCCCTCCTTTCAGACAATGCCACAGAAGCGGCAGCTCAGGACTTGTTTTAAGTCCCTAAAATCAGGTAAGAATTTCCATCCGCCTTCCCCTCCATGTGCAGCAGCATGTCCCCTCTCCTGCTCTACTGGCCACTACCGCTGTCACCAGGTGGGGGCCGGGCTTAGCCAGGGACAGTGGCAGCAGGCAGGTTCCTCCTTCCTGCCCAATCCCCAGGATATTTCTTGGCAGTCTGGGAGCAGGCAAGGGGAGGGGAACCTGTCTGCTGCCACCACTGCCTCAACCAGACCTGGCTCCCTGTGCAGCCTTCCCACTGTCCTAGTTGGAATAGGGCAGGAGTGGCTGAGACAGCAGTACGAGGTCCAGAGGTGTAAGTAGGTATAAACAGAGAGAGTTCTGGGACTCCCGCCCCCATCCCAGAGTCAGTTAGAGACAGCAGCAGTGGATGAGGAGAGGGAATGGGAGGGTAGGGAGGTGTTGCCGAACATGGAGGGGAGGGAAAAGGGGATTCTTACCTGTTTTGAGCACTTAAAAGAAGTCCCTGGCTGCTGCTTCCATGGCATGGTTTGCCCATCCTGCGGGAGGGGGAGGCTGGGACTGGGACATGCAGCCACATCTGCAGCACCCTTCACTGCTCCCATGCCCATGCCTGTATATGTCCAAATACTGCTTAGGGAGTAGGACCGAGACTACATAAGAGCTGAGTATATCTATGTTCTCAACAGCAGAATATGTTTATACAGTAAAAGCTGCATTTTACAAGCTGGCATGCTCTACTAACTGGCATGCTGGCTTGTAAGATAAAGTGAAACCAGAAGTGCCCACCGCGGCACTTCTGGTTTCTCCGAGCCCCCACGGCTGGGGGCAAAGCAGCCTGCGCTGCCGAGCCCCCACAGCCTGGGGGCATAACAGGCTGTGTGAGGCTGTGCGGGACCCGTCTCCCTGTCCCACAGGGCCTGCAGGACGGGTGGCGATGAGGAGGGGCAGGTGGAGGGACGCCCCAGACATGGCGGGAGAAGCGGCGGCTGGGGCCGCTCAATTAACTGGCATATTTTGTTATCTGGCATTCCCCATTCTTGGGGGATGCTGGATAACAGAGCTTTTACTGTAGTAGTTTCAAGATATGAAACTAGAAGACTGACAAAAATCAAACTTTTCTCTTTGGTTTTTGCTTTTGATTCAGCCTCCTCCCCCCAACTTTGCTTGTGTGTTTGTCAGTCATGAGCAAATGGACCTACATTTTTAATGGTGTAATTAGTTCCCCTTTGGACTAATAATCACATTTCTGCTAATGAAATAGTGTAAATGTATAGCTTGATAATCTAAAGCTATGGCCAACATGGTGATTTTTAAACTTTAATCAAACTCAGCACATACAAATATTCTGCGATAGCCCTGAAGCCTCCTTCGGACCATCTTCTGGTATGCTGGAGGAGGAGGGCCTTGATTCTGCAGCAGCCTGCATGGAATAAATTTAAAAAAAGAACAGGAATTACAATGATACTGTTATATGCCTCTCCCATTTTTTAGCCTGCTTATTTTGAATCTGTGTATAATATCCAAGCAAATGCACAATTTAAACAGTAACAGGGTTTAAATAAAATCTCTTTGGTTTTCTAACAGTTTTTTGTCAGCAAGAAAACTATGCTACAGAGAAATACAACTAAAGACTAGATATTTAAAACCTCTTTTGAAAGACATATTTATGCCTAACATAGCACACAAAATCAGATTATAGATTATAATACAGCAGACTGCGCTCTTTAAAGGTGCTACAGAATTGTGTGTTGGAAACTTATATACACAGATGATTATAATAATATTGAGATATATGGGAAGACATATTACACTTAAATACCAACCACTCAGCTTTAAAAGTAGTACTAACCAGGACACTGATAAGAGTGCAAATCAGGCTACCATAAGAATACCCATATTCACTCAACATAAATACACATTTTAATACATCCAACGAAGACTTATGCACATACTGCTGACTCAAGCACATGAATAATCCAAGTCAACAGGATGTGAAGTAGAGTACACCTATAACCCCTACCAGGATTAGGATTAACTGTCCAAAGCTTTTCCCATAAATATCATCACTTGAGACATTTATGGACTGCCTTTAACTAGCAAACTTCTTCTCATTTAGAATTAGCACAACACAATTTAGGTGCTGTTGGTAATTCACCCAAGACAGTTCTGTTACTGATCCAATCTTCAAGCAAACCAAGAAATACTGCTGGGGGAAATTAAAGCCCAATTTAAATATGAACCATGTTTAGACAAGGAATTATTTATATCAGAATAATTGTTGGGAGGACCTGGAATACTTCATCAACATTATGTTCACAAGCCAGTAACAGAAAGTGGATCAATAATTATTCTAGGTTCCTTCCAAATGAGAGGCACTGTTAAGGCATCAATAGCAATCAGTATTTACTTGATAAACAGTCTCTTCTGAGGGATGTAAAATGTTAGGTGGGAAGTTGTTTTATGTTACACATAATTCAAAAAATTGAAAGCAAGGCCATGTGAAATGCATCTGATTATTAAGAACTTTCAGCAACAAAGTGTAACTTCCCAAATCCTGTTTATCCTGAATTTAACTTTAAGTCGGCAACTCTCAGTTTTAAAATACTATAGGTGAAATCTTTCCCCTCCCTTCAGCAGATTACCCCTTCAGTGGGGTAATCTAACCTATTTTTAGATTACACATAAATGGAGAAAGATGAGCAGCTTTGCAGTATCAAACTTAAATTATTTGATGCAATGTATCATCTACCCATTATAGACAGGATGCAATTCCATCTCTCATCCAGAACGTATTCAGCCTCTAATCACAACAGATATCTAGACTCTACTTCTAGCAAGAGGAACCGTGTGCGCAAATATTAGCAACAGCATTTCATATTATATTTCTCTAACAGGTGGCAGAAAAAAAAAGTTTTCCACATTCAATGACTTTGGTGGGCTAATGAGGTTGAGTTAGGCAGAAGTGCTGTGTCACATTAAACAGGTTTTTTTATTAAAAGGAAAAAGGTGCACCCTCCCCCAACACACTCAAAACAGCCTTCTATAGCAAAGTATTTAAAGGGACTTGGGATATGAAACTGGGAATGGAGCTGGAAGATGGAAAATTGAAGAGAATCGGAAGAAGTTTAGGGCAGAAAAAAAAAGCATCCAAGTTTGATTCAGCAAGATGCTTAAAGTCTATCTTGGGACTACCTCATGTATGAATTACCTTTGTGAGTTTAACACAAGTCACATTTGGCAGGTTTCTAAGCATGTTTGCACTACCTTGGTGGTGAGCCTGGGAGCACTGCCAAGAAGCATGCCCTGTTGACTAATCCCTGCTTAATGCATGTGCGCGCCAAAGTCTGCCCCTGCTTAATGCATGTGATTCTACAAAGCCGAGTCTCCAAAAACCCCCAAAACCTCTGAATTTCATAGCTGCAGTTTTAGAGCCCCAAATCAAACACTAAAAGATCAAAAACTAAATAAAATAAGAAACCCTCAAGAACTTTAAGAAAATTAAAGACATCACGGTTTTTAAGCTTATTTCATATTTGGGTAGCATGATTCATGATTTCTCAGTGCCTGCGACTGGCAATACCAGGCATATGCTTGGTGACTCTGAGACGTTAAGTACCTCATGTCAGTTTTCCCAGGGGAAGCCCCTATTTTCAACCTTACCTCAGGTTGTTGGTCCTCTTGCATCACTGAAGTGCGCTGTTTAATTTCACCAACCAGAGAAGGCCTATAGAAATAAGGGGGGGGGAGGGGAGAAGAGGGAAATAAGATTAAGAACTGCAGCTAGCAAGGTTGGAGCATCTATAAAGAGCTAAAATAGATTTAAACAAACTAAACAGTCCTGTGTTATATCCCTCCTATGCAAAACACGGGAGAAATATGGTAGAAACTGAAGATGATACAACACAAATGCGTTCACTGAATATATTCACAGAGACTCAAAAAAGACATGGATAAGTAGGAGTGGGAAGTAATGGGAATTTGGAAGCCCCGCAATCCTGCATTCTACCATGTACAAAGTTAAGCTAATTCCTCCAAAATACCCCACACAATGAAAAGGATGAGGGCTGGACCAGTCAGCAGAGTAGTAGGGGAAAATGATTTTTGGTCACAGGAAAAATGCAGCCCCACTGCATTAGTGGCTCTCAACTTCCTCCCTGACAAACCAATATTCAAGAGAAAAAGGAATGCTCTTCAAGGACTTCCCTCCCACCTAGCTAAAAAGAACAAATGGTGAATATAACCCAACGCTTTGGACTGAAAGGAGGGGTGTTACAATCCTCAAGCTGAAAACTCATGGCCTAGGTTTTGCCTCTTGCTCATCATACATAGCACTACTACCCCCTTACCAGTTTTCTGGTACCATAAAGCACTGATTCTCAAACAGGGTGCCAGGGCAGAAGCTCAGTGCATATAAACTAGTTTCAAAATGGCTAAAAGTGGTTTAAGATAAACCTATCAGACTTAACTGATTTGAGTTAAACTGGTTTATGAAACTTCCTGGTTCAAGTTAAATCACAGCCCCCAGCATCCCAGCATGCTTTCAAGCCCTGGGCTGGGCTATGATGTCTGCTTCAGAGAGCAGGCAACCCCAGCTAGGGATGCAGCCCAGTCTACAGGGAGGACTGCCCTTCCAGGCAAACCCCAGCTAGGGTTTGGGGCCAGGGAGGGGGGTTAAACACCTCTTCCCCCACTCAAATTTACCGCTGGGTAAATAAAAAATTTAATCCTAGAGGTACCTGGAAGCAGGAAAAGGAAGTGATGAGCAATTCTGCAGAGTCCTATTGCTGTAATTCTGGACTGCAAATCCCAAACACCTTTGGGGCAGCAGGAAGAGTAAGTAAACACAGCCAGAGAGCTGTGCTTTAAGCACCCTCCCCCAACCCCACTGGGCTTCCGACCTCAGCCACTGCAGGCATGTGGCTGCATTTCCTAAATCCAAGGTAAATATCTGTTCACTTCTGTTTCAATTTAATCTGTGCATTTTAGACTAACCTGCAAAGACCGAATCGATTCAGCTTCAGGCTTTTTGACCATCTGTATTTAGCCCTTGAGTTCCTATGAGACTACCCAGTGAAACCAGCCAACATGCCTGTCTCTCTTTCCTCATGATGGAAAACATAATAGTTCTAGGCCTTTAAGATGGATACAATTTTTTTTAACATTTACAAATATAAAGTTGCAGTGTTTACAAACACAGTAATTTCAGCTTCAGCTGCTGTCTTTTCTATTTATAGGCTACTCGTACCCAGCATGACACATCAGCTGAAATCTGGTTGCCAAAGGATGTAACAGATACAAATTCAGGAACTGGAACTGGTTTCAAAACCATCACCAAGGTGATTTACTGTGTGTACTGTATTTGTTTCCACTTACATCTCTGAAACTCTGAGCAACTGACACTGTAATCACAGATGGCTGAAGACTGATTATGGCTGCTTGCGCATCAAGAGTTAGCAATAGGTAAATTTTGTGGCTGAGCTTCGACCAATTCCTAATCTTCCTAACAGACTTTAGGCAGGGGCACAATTCCCAAGAGATAAAGGAGTAGGTGCTCCATGGTAACAGCCTATTTGCATGCTTTTACTTAATGGTAAATGAAAGCCAATTCATGCCATCCTACACCTCAAAAGTAAGGGCAAGTTATCATGAAATGCACATGGGTGGACATGGGTAGTTACTGAACACCAGATGCTGTGCTACTGTATGTCTACACCTATAATACATGGATGAAATTTATAATTAACATTAATCCCTTTGCTGACCGTATAACTATCAGAAAATTCTGGTGCATCTTTAATTCAGGGGCATCTTATATTTGAAGGAATATATGGACTAGATGACCTCCTGAGGTCCCTTTCAACCCTAATTTTCTATGATTCTATGTATATATGTCACTGGCTTGTCTACTCCAGGGGTGGCCACACTGCAACATGTGTGATACCAGTGGCACCTGTAGCCTCTGTGCACAAGACACAATAGACGGGTAGAGACGGCACAGTGGCAGATAGGGCAGGAAACAGAGAGCAAAGCAGCAGATCAGTTTGGAGAAAAGATTCAGTGGCACTAAGGGAGGGTATAGGGCTAATTTGTGGCACACCTGACTAAAAGGTTGGACCCCAATGTTCTAGCCCATCTGATTACTACCTTTCCTACCTACTATGACAAATGCAGAGTAACTTTGGTTCCTATCCAACCATCATTCTATCGCCTTCAAAGAACAAAATTTAAAAACCGATTTAAATTCTTTTAAAAAATCTAAAATAATTAGTCTCTGTATCTAGCAAATTTTATATCACTCTTTTAGAGATGGTAACAGGAGTTACCCTACCAGTCTACCCTTTCTCCTTTCTATTTGAATGTGCCACTTAAGATTCAAAAGGTTCAATAGGCTGATCTGACATTTCTTGCAGTGCCAATTCAGATGTTGAGGAGGTTCAGTCTGTTCATCCTCTTTACTCCTCCCCAGTACAATTTTTTTAGTACTCAACAGATCCTTTCTGCCTCTGTAAAGATCTTCCTCCTGTGACTCCCCAGTATAAACATCATGCTGCTCCAAAATCTTAATCCCTAGGTTAGGGCCAGGGCGACTGCCTGCTTCCCTCCTCCCCCACCCAGGCCCATGTTAAATGAGGTGGAAAACCTTGTTTTGGAATCAACTAAATATGGTGATTGCACTCTCTGTAATTTCATTCAATTGTAGGAACAAAAGACTCACTATTTTGTGAATGAAATCCCATTGCTTTGCAAATGTTTTACAGTCTCTGGAGCAAAATGGCAGTCCATTCTCACTACTGCTTCAGGCATGCCATACACTGCAACTAGATTTGCAGTTTCTGATGACAGACATATCTGGGACATTTGAGATAACCCTGCTTCTACAGATTTTGAATAAAAGACACCCAAAATAGGATAGCTTACCTGCTGACACTCAAAACAATACACACCCAGTGTATTTCTGCCTTCATGTAGTATCAGTGTTTCCTTTTGATTTCTGAGATCTCTCTCAGGACTGCACCATATCCTCAATTTGACTGTATATATAAAACTAATGAACGGCATCTAAGCTCTCCTTTTACATGAGTCTGCTCCCACGTGACTTTCATAAATAGTTATTTTTTCCTGAGACTCTTCAATACCTGTCATTTTTACAAGCCCATCTTGCAAAATGAGCAATAAGAATGGAAACCTTTAGTACCCCAGATCTGATTTGATCATCCCTGCAAAACACTCCATTTTAAGTGCTGGAGGAGCACATAATTTACAGCAGCTGCTTGAAATTTCTTCCATTTCTGTTCCAATACTGGCAAACTGGACAACATGAAACATACTGCATCAGTAGCTCCCTCTGAATTTATCCCTTTGCCATTCAAAACGTATGCTCTGGATAAGACATTAGCAATTGCTAACTCTTTTTTTTCCTACTCTACTCTCTGTAGACATCTTCCAGGTAATACTTCTAGAGCGTGAGAACCCATCTTTGAACTCTGGGTGGAACACTGTACAAAGGTTTTCTAAAAATAGCTTCAAGACGCTTGTGGTCCATTTCACCAACTACTTTGTTTCTACGGGTATACTGATAAAAATCACATACATCAACCACTGTTACTAGCATTTCTTTTTTTCTTTCTGGGCATAGTTCTGCTGTCAGAGGTTTAGAGGTATAAGCAACAGGAGCCCCTTTTGGCATCAGTATATCCTGTAATCCAGTAAAGCTAACACAGCAACTCATTCTTTGACATAAAGTACTGTAGCACTGGAGCTTTCCAAGTAATTCTTCCAAATGTTTATATGCCATAAACCCAGGCAAACTCCCCAGCAGATGTCTTAACTGTACTGTTATTATTGACATGTGCAGACTAAATTTAGCCAGGTAAATGACTCTTCTCAAAAATCTTTACAATTTAGCCTTGCAAGTGTCACCAATTCAGTTACTGCAGAAACTTTTACATTATTACTTCTTTTGTCCAGTAACACCTTAAATATTTTCTCTTGGTCTAAGCCACTTTGTATCTGCTCCTATTCAGTCGTAGATTTCTTTTACAATACTTATTAAAAACTCTTTTATGCTTCTCATCCCAATCTTGTCTGATATTTTCTCCATACCAGGATGCTATTCAACATCTTCCAGCCCTTCAAAATACCTATTATATTACTCTGATACACTTCAGAAGCTAAGCGGATGCCAAAGTGAAGTCAGATAAACTTGACTCTGCTGAATTGTATGTTGAATGTACAAAGTCATCCAGCTGTGCTTGCCAAAATTCACTACTGGAATCTAAGACAGTTAAAAATTCAGCTTTTGCCAACTTAATGATTCTTATACTGCAGGCAATTAAAAGTGTTCCTTTCTGTGTTGTATTACTAACTCTTGGATTCAAATATGTTTTTATGTCATCTCATCCTGGCATAGTTGCAACTGCTATAGAATTAGCCCACCTATAGGCTTTGTTATAACCTGCAGCTGTTCTGTACACTGCAGTTCTCTCTCTTACTTTAGCCCTTAATGCTATGGTAATTTTATGAAGTGTACACATTACAGACGGTACTTGCAAGTTTATCTTTATGGCACATTTCCCTGAAAAGCACCCCATGATTTCAAAAACACCCTGGTATTCTGCAAACATCTCTCAAACCACCTTATTTCTTTGCCATATTGACTCTATTTAAATTTACCTTAGCACAGCTGATGATCCCTGTAAGGCTTGCAAGTTAAAATTCTACTAT